ATTGATTTTTGGGTGAGAAAGATCCAGGATCTACATGGAAGGCTTGTCCGGAGTAGGAACAGAAATGTTCTGATCAAGGCTCTGAGTCCTTTGCGTAGGGTCTGGAACATGGTAGTCCATGAACAGGCTCAGGGGGTTCTGCCTCAGGCAGGGTGGAACTTGTGGCGAGAGAGTAGGAAAGAAGTCCTCATGACCTGAGAAAAGTACAAGTAAAGCTCAGCATTGATCCCTTTCTGTATCTGGACCAACCTGGTCAGAGGATCTCCCAGACACCTGCACATGACTGTGTTGCTCTGTGATGATGGAGAAGAATATTTTGAATGGAGGAGCAAGGTGTGAGTCAGTGCCAGAAATCTCTGTCCCTGGAGAGCAGGAGTTGCTGGGGCTGGCAGAGCAGAGAGGTTGGAACACGCTTTCTCTCGCCACGGTGAGTTCCCTGAGGCACTTGGCAAGGCAGCTCCGGCTGATACAAGGCAAGCCTGTTCTTCTCAGGTTGCCAAAGCCTAAGACAGGGGTCAGAAGATGGGTACAAAACCTCGAATGAGGGACACAAATGAATTATTCATGCAGGAAGCTGAAAATGCTGCCCTATTACTTCCTTTCATACAGTGCTTAGTCCTGTAACCTCTATTTTGGTGTGTGTTTGTAATGTAAATTTTTTTCTGCATTAAAGGCAAGGAGGATCACCAAACTGTGTGGTAGCTTTGGCAGTGGGCTGGGGGTTATTTCAGGGGTCTGCACCACGGTGTCTAAGGTTGGAGACAAAAATTAACAAAATAGCAATCACTGTAATCATAATCTTTTCTCTTTCGATACTCTTTGCTGTGAGGCACCTTCTGAAATTTAGGCTTTATGTTGCCACGTTCAGCACTGCATGTGGCAGCAGCGTGAGCTCACTAGTGAAAGTGAACTATAATTTATTAGCTATACCAGGAGCTAATAAAGTAACTTCCCCTGCAGTTCCACGATGTTTTGCTGCACGACACCCTGGCAAGTAGTAAAGCAGAGTTGCAACTCAAATACATTGAACCGCAAAACAAGTCTCTTACCTGTGGCAGCCCTTGTTTGTTAAAAGTTAAATACTTTATGTTCTCATTTTCTGGTCTAAGACATGAAATAAACGATTAAAAAAATTCTTTCTTGCTCTGACAAAAATGAGTTTGGGATGTTAGAAAATACTTTCCTGAGAGTATTCCTTGCTGCTACTCCTTCCTGTAATTACACTGACTTTGTTTGCCAGATGTTCAGTGACAACATTATACTGCTGTAGTCTGTTTTCCAGTTGCTTTATTTGTTCCTAGGACAACTGCTTTCTTTCCCTTTCTTTCAGAGAGGAAATAGACAAAGGGGGGAAAATCCTTTACAAATGTTTTAAAGTGCAAAGACTGGGACAATGGAATTTGTCCTTCTCTCTGTCTAACTGAAACAATGACAGTCCTGCACTTTAATCTTCTTATCCCCAGGGGGTCTTCTAATTATTGCAGCTGTTGCACAGGCTTGTCCGTAGTGACGTCCTCCTTACCATTCATATTGGAGGCTCTTTTATGTCGTTAGCTCCTCACTGGAAATGGTAGACCCTTCAGCTCTAAGAATAGGTGAAGTTTACCTTTTGGATCAGGGAGAAGAGAACAAAGCATTCTCCGAGTTCCTTTCTAGGATTTACAAATGACTAAAGGCTCTTCTTTGCACTGCAAAATCCACTTTAAAT